ACTAGGAACGGGATGCTGTAACTAGACAAGGCACTTGCTACAGCAAGGAAAGGATGTAGGTATTTTTGTGTAGGTGTTTAGACCGGTGTCTAGACGTTAACCCCGAGGGGCGCGAGTTTATGTGTATGTAGGTTTAAGAATAGGAATGAAGGGAGAATTGTTGGGAGGGGCTAGTTTTCAACCTTTATCTTCTTTTTGCTCGGAGGACCAATGTAAATTCCTGTATTGGAATTTGGGAAGATGCTCAGAGCACTTGGTAGTTTGTTGTTTGTGGTTTGTAGGTTGGGTTAGTACTCCCAGGAAGTTTGGTAACTGGGGAGTAAGAACCACTGTTGGATTAATACTGATTTTTATTAAACAATTAACAACTATTTATATACAGAAATGCAACTTTAACAAACGTCATAAACAATGGTAATTGATTAAAAAGAAGAAATCGCTGACAAAAATAGTAATTAAACTTTTGATGACGCTGCGTCTGGTATACATCGTAGTATTGCCTATGTTTCTTGGTGATTTACTGGCGGTGTGTTGGTGTCGATGACCTAAGAGTACCTGGATGCTAATCATTAATTAATTTTTGTAATGATTTTGATAAATATTTAGGGCTTTAATTATGACTAAATTTTGAATGAAGATTTTTTGAGAAATTAGAACATTGGTTATCCAGAAGTTTCAATATATCTCTAGTAAGTATAAGTTACATCAATTTTACTATTTGAGTTTATCTCTCGGTTCTGGCTTAACAAACATATTCACAAGCGAGGCTCATTCGAAATTCGATAATATCTACTTCAAAGGCCCAAAGTCCTTTTCCACTCATTCTCAAAAACCATCCAAATCTCGATTCATAACAACTCGGTCATCAGTACATTATATTCGTTTCAGCAACAACAATATCCGCACATTTTAGGTTCACCTAAATTTTTTCTCCGGAATATAGAGGCTTTGTTTCAACTGATGATACTAACCAAAAATCTTTTTCGACTAACCACTGTCAAGTGAGGTAATATGCGGTTGTTAATGATGCTCAGGAAGATTTTGCCAATAATCACGATCCAATTTTTTGTTTCAAAAGCAAATCAGAATATACTAACTCCAGAGAGTAAGGTGAATCTAGTTTATCGAAAATATTTTTAAACATGGTATTTCAGCAATCATCCTTCTGCAACATCATGTTTAGTTCTAGAATAACTGAGTACTTGAACTTCAAGCCGACTTCCATCTGTTAACTGAACAGCATATTAAAATTAATAAAAAATAAAGAAATATTTATATACCAGTGGCGGCCTCAAACTCCATTTGCATCTGTGGTAGGTACATACAAGATTTAATGCAATACCGTCCTGAACAACGACATTTATTTTGGTTTAAAAGTGTAGAAATTGGTTATTGTTATTGTTTTATTGACTGTTTTAACCTAATGTACTCTACTCGACAAAATTAAAGTAGAAAATAGCTCCTAGACATAATGTTAGCGCATTAAAGTAGTTTATGAACTTGAGGCTTTAACCAAGAAATAAATGACCTTCTTATCACTAAAAGGCACATAACCATTTTCGTAAAACCGACCTTAAAAGATTGTTAACTGACAAATCAATACCCGCGATAAAAAAAAGTTATATAGAGACTATCAATCATATTTCAGGCTTCGCATCTTGGGTCCTTTGTATGTCTTCAAATCTTAACATAAAAAACGCATTAAATGTACTCTTTATCTTTTTAGTATGTGCGGAAAGAGGATGGTTCAGTTTAGCCTGGATCGTTTACCGAGCAGCGAGCCGGGATGGTTTTTTTATACTGCTTTTAAAAAAATATATATTTTAATCCAGTCACTGTTATCATATCAACAATCAACCCATCAAAATATATCATAAGCTTTACGTAATATAAGCTCTAGAAGTAAAAATAGTGCTTCATCAGTATCGAATCAGTTCATAGATTATCAATAAACGTTAATATCATTATTTTGGTGACTGCCATAATTACCTAACTCTGGGGTGTATCAGGTAGGTATGAGTACAAATATATATAATATGGCTGATATATGGCTCATTTCAAGCTAAAGCTGTCCTATTAACCTTGGGTCAATTGTTAGTATTCTCGGAGTTATCACAGAATTTAAATTTAGAAAATTGTTAACAATACATTGTACAGATCTTTATCTCTTCCAGAATGTAAATGTAAATAAAACTGGTAAATTTAAAAATAAAGGTTTTTTTTGTAAGGAGTTTATTTATTTTCACCTGTTTAAGTTTTGGTTTGCTATTCGCTTTCAAATAATTTAAATAATTTGCATTTTTATCACTTTTCTAGTAAAAATAAAAAATGTGCCGTTTTATCAAGTTGTGAATTGCCCTAAACATAGAATGTTAGGGAGTTACACAATGTATTTATTCCCTATAGTGGACTATACATTTTTGCGTTTAGGTTTGCGGTGGAATTTCAATCGATGCACCTCTAAATTAGGATACAAGTTACCCACATAACAGTGAAAAAACATTTATATTCTCAGAATATTCCCTCAGAGTGCCTTTTGGAATATTCTTTTAGGAATGTTTAATGAATATTCTAAGATTGTTTTGATTGAAATATTCATTTTTGGACGTTCTATTTATGTACAGGGTATTTGATTATATTTGGCACCATACCTACAGCCTTTACTATTTAAGATAGAAGAAAATTGTAAATACAACACTTGACAGTTTTTTTCTATATTTTCTCTTAACGTTATCAGAAAAAACAAAATTGCATGGGAAAATGGAGAAACGTAGATAACTTCGACTTTTTTAAATGGAACACCCTGTATATTTTGCGATAAAATGAAAGACCTTTTCTTCCTGATTACAAATATATCCATTTTTGACATATCTTAGCTTAAATTATAACTAAATTACAAAGAAATTTTATAAAGATAGAGATCCTTATGGAACTTCTCTGCAAATTCTTTATAATTTAACCTGAGATATGTCAAAAATTGCTCACGCAAATTTTATCAATATATATATATATATATATATATATATATATATATATAGATATGTTAAGGTATATTGGTGAGCCCATACAATATTTGAAGCGGTTATTGGTCAGCCCGTTGGGACGTTCGTCGTCCCGGTATCGGGCTCACCAAGAAATCACCGTGTATATAGGCTTTATTCGATAGATAGGGTTATGAAATGTCGGTCATTGAATTTTCGGTCGGGACGACAAATGACCCATAAACATATTGCTTATATGCCTCTTACTTCCCAACAATTCCACGCAAGTGGCGCTGTAGTCGATATACACATGTGCATAGGGAAGCCCACCATTTATACAGATTTTATAAGTAGATGGTCTATTAGTAAGCCCGAAACTTGGCAACGTTGGAAATGAACATACAGCTCCGATATTAGGCTGGTCGTCCAATGGAAGCGGAAACAAGCGGCTACGAGCTCACGTTTACTTTTATTGCATTGGGCTTAGTGAATTGCTATTTTCAATAATTGTTCGTGTCTTTGGAAAAAATAAGCGAGAATAGTTGCTTTAAAGAACATTTATTGAACAAAAAGTTACCTCGGCAAATTTGACAAATGAAAAGGAAATTATCACTCTGGTGTTAGTAAAGAAATACATAATACATTTTTATAATAAATCTTTGTGGAAAAACAAAATATAGAAAGTGGCTCGCGCCTATAACTTTTTTGATTTTTAATAAATACAAAAATATGCATTATTTGACATACTCTTTTAATTTCTGTCACTTCCGGTTTGACCGGAAACCACCCTAACTTTCTTATTCTAAATGGGACACCCGGTATATTTTCACCTATTTTGATAAAAAATGACATTCTGCGTTCAACGACACCTCATTTGTCACTTTTTGACACCTAACGTCATAATAATTTAAATTTTGAATTTTCAATCTAGTGTTTTCATGAGATAAATTTCAATTAAAATATCGATTGAGTGGTACCAAATTATTCGTAATAATTTACTCTTCCCATCTATGCTAATGAGCCACCCTGGTTCCATTTGAAAAAAATGAGTTAAGGCCAATAATACGATTTAATTTTTTTTAAATGTACCTGTTCACATTTCTAGAAAGCAAAAACGATCTAATCCATTTTTTCCCGGCTACTTAACCCAAAATTAGCCGTTTCAACTTATTCATTGCCCTCTAGATTGAAAATTGAAAATTTAAATTATCATGACGTTAGGTGTCAAAAAGTGACAAATGAGGTGTCGTTGAACGCAGAATGTCATTTTTTATCAAAATAGGTGAAAATATACCGGGTGTCCCATTTAAAATAAGAAAGTTAGGGTGGTTTCCGGTCAAACCGTAAGTTACATAAATTAATTGAGTATGTCAAATAATGCATATTTTTGTAAAATACTTATGCACCAAGTTTCATTTGTTTTTATTAAAAATCAAAAAAGTTATAGGGGCGAGCCACTTTCCTGGGACACCCTATAATTATTGGGTTAGTCTTAAAAATGATATTGTTAAGGCAAAATAAATGTTTCATATTTTTATGTCATAAAAAGCTAATTGAACCGATTTACGAAATTTAAAATAATTGAGAAATAGTTTATTGAAGCATACTAAAAGATTTTTGACGATAGTTGACAGTTACCAAAATGTATCAATGAATTGTTGGCCTAGTAGTTAGTGTGATTATTTCACGAAATTTTAGTTTTTCAGTTATTGAAGCTCTTGAAATTACTGAAACCATTATTTTTAACTTACTTATAGTTATCAAAGTTTTTGAAAGTATCAACTATTGTCAAACAAAGTAAAAACTGATAATACAAAATTAGAATAATTTAAATGTGACAAGCAATTTAATTTTTATGACATAAAAAACCCCTACCCGGTGCCTCTGGACAGAGAGCTAAAACTATATTCTATATTTTTGAAACAAAATTTTTCTGTTTTTTTATTATCAAAAGGGGATTGTTATGGCAATATCTTATTCGGTTTTTTTTGCACTAGTCTATAGCAATTATAAACATACGCTTTTATTGTAACCCATTTTCGGCCTTTAAACACTTTTGGGTATTCTTTTATTAATAGTTCAACTTCATGCTTTTTAGGGGCGATCTTTTCTTTTATATGTTTAGCAAAAAAACTTCTTAATATTTTTGCTTGGGTTTCATTCCACGCCTTTCTTTTTAGTTGTGGTTCGCATATTTCACCGTCTAAAAAAAACAATTTTATTGCAAAGTTGAATATTTATATCTTTTGAGATATGTGATATTGCCCGAAAGCCCATGTAATCAATATTCTGGAGGCTCCTCACCAGCAATCATTGATAAATTAGCAGCATTTGATTGTGAGGTTGCGATCTTGCGCAGGGTATTGTTGCTGTAATTTCATACACGCTGGTAAGGGGATAACCAGAAGACTGATGGTTTGAATCTAAAGTCTAAAGCAGAAGTCTGCATGTTTTTTAGATAATATTTTACTTTAGTCTTTATCATTTATTTAAATCGATTACCAACTCACCTGCACTTGAACCGCTAGAATATTTACTTGAATCACTATATGGAATTCTTTTTTCAGTTACTGCTGGAATTGTAACTGGTTCGTTATAAATTCTACTAGGACCTGGCACATCATAAGCCGCGCTAGGAGATTCAGATAACCTGGTTTTGGAACGTTTGATAGTTCTTTTTGTGGCACTAACATTAGCGTCTTCATGGTCCGAGTTATCTGAGTCGACATTATCAGATAAATCAATTTCATCTAGGGTCTTGCCTTTATATTGGGCTCCTTTACCATTGTTTATAACGATAAGTATTTTCGATACTTTAGCTGTTTGGTATACGTCCTGTGGTAATCTGAACAAAAAACAATCGTTACAATAAGAAGTCCAATAAGCAAAGTTTTTTTCCAGGAAAAAAATGTAGAAGTATTTTTATTAACGGTTCTACATGTTTTTTTGGGGTGCTGAATCCGAATCTGAGGTTTGCCACCTCGCCAGGCGTCGGCTTCACAACGAAAACCCAAAAAACCTTTAATTCTGCGTACCTACTTGTTTCAGATTTTTGACTAAATGTCGAAAACTAAACGTTTTTCGATTATAACTATGATACACCAAATTGAAGTAGACAAAATTTTCTACAAGAACATATAGTATACTCTCAAGTTTGAACAATCCATAACGTCGTTATATCGTGTTGAAAAAATGGCGTTTCTATGCTATAAACAACGCCGCCTCGTCGTTTTTTTCATACTTCCCGACTAGGTAGAGGGTTGAAATTTTCAGGGGAGCTAGAACATTGGATTCTGTCTAGCCAAAATAATTTTCGTGCCCTCCCTTCTTCCGAGGCACCCGGGGTGGAGCTGTCAAAGTTTTGACCTTCGGGCCCTCCACAACCCGAACGGTTGGAGGTGCAAAGATGAAATTTTGCAGAGAGTTAGAGAAAAACTAAATATCGCGATCGTCTGGGGAGACGATTTGAAAAAAAATATATTGAAGGTAAGAAAAACCTAAGAAACGCGTGTATGGCTTGACCTCTCCAGTCCCTGGGCTATGCTGAAACTCGGAATATTAGCTTTTCCAGACCTCTTTTACCAGGGTACTCGGTTTTGTTCAAACTGGACGAAAAAACTTTTTCAGGGTTTTTATGCTTTTCTCACCCCACTGATTTTTTTTTAATCGTTTACCCAGCCGATCGCAAGATTTTCTTTTTCTCTACGCCTCTACAAAATTTCATCTCTGCACCTCCAACCGTTTGGGCTGGGGAAGGCCCGAAAGTCAAAACTTTGACAGCTCCCTCCGGACGCTCCCGGTAAAGGGAGGGGAACGAAAATTGTTTTTGCTCAACATAATTCAATGTTCTGAAAGTTTCAGCCCTCTACCTAGTCGGGAAGTATGAAAAAATCGACAAGGCGGCGTTGTTTATAGTATAGAAATGCCATTTTTTCAGCACGATATAACGACGTTATGGATTGTCCAAACTTAAGAGTATATTATATGTTCTTGAGAAAAATGTTGTCTGCTTCAATTTGGCATACGATAGTTATATAATCAAAAAACGCGTAGTTTTTGAGATATAGTTAAAAACCTGAAGAAAGTAGGGATAATTTAAGGTTTTTCGCGATTTTCGTTGTGAAGCCGACGCCTGGCGAGGTGACAAACCTCAGATTCGGCACCCCAAAAAACATAATGGAACCGGTGAGAAAAAAAGTTCTACATTTTTTTCCTGGAAACGCGGTTTCTGAACCTTGAATTACTGAACTAAAAGATAACATTGCCATTTCGCCAATGCGGTTCAAGAATTTCAGAATCTAAAATTTCAATAATTCGCAGGGACAACCAAACCTCTCAAAACCAATTTAAATTTGAAGATCATTACCAGTTTTTTTTTTGCGTAATGAATAATGTAAAAAAACAAGGATTATTTCAGCTTTTCTAAGGGTGAGCTAATATTTTCTAATTTCTGCACCAGTCATAAGACTCGCTAGGCAACTTGAATTTAAACCACATTTCATTTTGGTATTTAGCCGCGATTATGCAGAATACCTGAAGCAACTCAATAAGAGTCATCTCCTTAATGAGTAAGCTGGGTCAAGTTCCCCCCCCACCATTCAGTTTTGTACTGTTGCTCAATTGTGCTCGTTTTGTGCTCAATTGTGCCGATGTAATTGGAAATTGTGCTCTTTTCCATATAGCGAAATAAATTGAAGCAAATCCAAGGGCCAGCTTGACCCCATTCCCCCCATTTTTTGACTTTTACGCAATATTTTTGGTTCATTCAATTGTGCTCGTTTTGTGCTCAATTATCCCGGTGTAATTGCGAATTGTGAACCTAAACAAATCCGGGGGCCAGCTTGACCGCCAGCCCCTTATTTTCTGACTTCTATGCAATATTTTTACAGAGTTTTTGTTTTATGAAAAAGAGCAGAATTCGCACTTACACCGGCACAATTGAGCACAAAACGAGCACAATTGAACTAGCCAAAAGTATTGCAAAAAAATCAAAAAAATGGGGGACTGTCGGTCAAGCTAGCCCCCGGAGTTGTTTAAATTTTTTTTTTTTTTTTGGTATATGGAGAGGAGAAGAGCACAATTCGCAATTACACCGGCACAATTGAGCACAAAACCAGCACAATTGAATGAGCCAAAAATATTGCAAAAAAGTTTAAAAAACGGGTGGCTTATTGGGTGAAGCTGGCTCCCGGATTTTCTTCAATTTTTTTTGGTACCTTTATCGAAAATAGCACAATTCACAATTACATCAGCACAACAGGTTATTTTACAATTATTCGATTTTGTAATTAGTTGCGACAAGTGACTTAGATTGGAAGACTGCCTTGAATTGGATTACTTTGGGATGTTTTGCAAATATTCAATGTTTTATTTTGACCCAGAGCCAAAATATAGTAATTATGCACAAAATATACCTTATTGAATTAATTTCACGTTACTAATGGCCGTTTCCACCAACTATTTTAGGGGAGCCTTAACGATAAGTATTCCATAAACTGACATTTTTCCATGTAAAAATGTCATTTTAGGGAATACTCATCGTTAAGGCTCCCCTAAAATAGTTGGTGGAAACGGCCATAATTACTTCGAACGTCCAACTGTCTGACACTAATTTCGGCATTTGTCAAAATACAAGTGCAGAAACAAATGATCATTTGCCTAAATTTGCTTTACATTAATCATTTATCCATGACGAGACTTACCTATAGTACTCCTCATGAGTTTTTTTTGTGTGCCCCATGAAGTTTGCAAATTGTTCCATTTCAGATTCACCAATATTCATAACTTGAAGAACAGTGGCAATTTGTTTTCTAAGTCTTGTTGATGTAAACAGGTCCTTATTTGAAACACCCGATTGTTGAGCTAGCTTTTTTAAAACATGGTATCCACTAAGCCATCTACTATCAGTTTTGGGATTAGCAAATAGGTAGTTATTTTCTTTTGAAACGCATTCAGATCGTACAGACAACATAAAATCAATTAGTGATTGGATTTTTTTAGGGAACAAAATTACTACAGGTTTACTTCCCTTTCCCCCTGTGACTACTCTTTTGAAGTTTCGAGTTAAAATTTTTTCATTTTCGGTTAAAGAATCAATAATTTCCTGCTGGTGGTTTGAGGGAATGTCATTTTGATAGGTGTCTTTTTTTAGGAACTGTATTTCGCCTATTCGTTTTCTGTTGAGGAGAAGCGTCAACGCCATGATACACTCTGTTAATCTACGAAAATTAACCTCTAACTCTCTTTTAGCTTCAATATTCGCACATGCATTTTCAGCTTCATTTATTACGTATTTTTGAAATTGCATAATTTCTGAGGTTAGCGGATACATTTTTGGTTTCTCCCACTGCTTTTCGTTTAAATCTTTGAGAGCCAAACTCGATATTTCGGAGTTCCAATGACCTACTATTAGTGATCGTAAACGTTTAATGTTTTTAAGTGTTGCTTCAGGATCTTTACATTCCAAAAATCGATGTTTTTTGATAATCAACTTAGTAGCAATGTCGCAAACTTGAACCAACCTCGTACTCATGTGAAGGGCTAAGCTTGGAGCTCTAAAGTTTTTATTCGCTTCATTGTATCCACTTATTACTTTTGTTGCTGTAACAAGATTGTCAAAAAACTCTGGTTTTAAAATATCTAAAAACCTATGGCAACCAGTCATTTCTTTTAGGACTAATAATAGTCTGCCTAACTCCCTGAGTTTATTGGAAACCATTGTGGCCAGTTGCACCCGCTTATGTCTCTTCAATTGACTTTCACCATAGCTACATATCAATATGTCACTCATTACGACTTTAGATACCTCATCTACGCGCATTTTATTGAGTACTTCTTTTTTCAGTCGTAAAGAGTCGTAAAATTCTTTGTAAGTGCCAGAACAAATAACAAAAGCCTGCGACTCTGATTGGTGGTTTTCTCTTTGCTTTTGAGGACAACTATTCATTTGACATTTTTTTCTATGCTTCTTCAAATATTGTTTTTTAAAAAAACCGAGGCAATAGTTGCATGGGAGATATTCTCCGTTTTTAGCATTTCTTGGTCTTTTCACAGGCCTCAATTTTATATTTTCTTTATCAAGAGCAAAATTGCCTTATCTCCGAAGAGAACTCAGTAGTATTTTCCGTTTAGGATCACCACTGGATAAAAGAAGTAATTTCTTCACAGCTCCTTCGTCCTCATGGTTTCGTTGAAGATGTCTAGGAAAATGTGTCACCTCAACAAAACAATATGGGCAACAATTTTTTTTTGTCCAACGCCGTTCGTTTTCTATCAAATCAACAGTATGAACGGTATTATCCTACAAGATATTCATTTAAATTCATGTGAAAAATAATTTCATGAAATTAATTACTTTGATAATAGTCCCAAAGTTATTAAGAATCCTATCGACATTAGTATCAGATAAATTTGTAGGATTGGGTATATGTTGTTGATCGGATGATGTTGTCAAAGAACGTATTCCATTATCCTCGGGTTGACACTAAAACACAATAACATTTTATTTATTATACAGGAATGCCAGGGTCACATTGGACATGATTGTTTGCAGTAGTAACAGCTATGTTTTCATTTATGTAATTAGATTATAATTATGTAGGTACTCTATAATGACGTCCTAGAATGTAGGTAAGTTATGTTCGTTTTCAAAGGTTTATTTTGTATAGACTAATGTAGTTTTCATTTTCATGAGTTTGGAGGTAGACAATGAGAGACTTATAGGAAAATTGCAATTTCTAACTTCCATTATCCGAGTTTAATTTGAAACACGACGTTTGGGTTAATTTGTATTGGTAACGTCAGGGATCACCTACAATTTAGAGTGTAGCCACATTATTGCTGGATCCTCGACACACGTCGTGCTTGAAATCAACTCCGACAGTAGAAGTCTGAAAGTTTTAATGCACATTTTTTGTCTCCTATTTTTTTTCAATCTCCCAATTTGCTATTACCTTATTAAGTTAATTAAAAAAAAGAGTTTTTAGTTTGTTCTAGTTATGTACGTACTACTACCTGAAAAGCAACTTACCGAATTATAGATTATAGATGGCATTAGTGGAATGTCTGGGCTTGTAGTAACTTTTCTAGGAGATGTCTAAAAATTGATGAAACTCACAATAGAATAAAAATGTTTGGTCTCCTTAAATATGCAGGGTGTACCACATTAAGAGCTTACCAATTCTTGTAAAGTTGTTACTTCTTCACCGAATTTAATGGGTGTCTTCTTCTAGGTAGGTATTCAAAATACACATTCAACGTGAGGATAACTTTATTTTTCTATAGCCGTACGAAAAAATCAATTTTCCGCACCGGTATTCGTGCGAAAAATCAATGTTTCCGCATGTAATATTTTGAAATAAGCAATATCATATGTCACCTTTAGGCTTGAAGTTTTTATTGTAACCGACCTATCGTCTATCGACCTACATTATTGAGGTCGTTCTCAGGATGACATAAAATTCATCTTTACCGTGTAATTAATATAACTAAGAAGAAAAATTATCAACATTATTTCCAACACCAAAGAAGCTAACCATCAAAATGTTGCCAATTATTTAATTAATAATATCTATAATTGTCAGTTTTTGGATACCTACCATGTTAATTACAACAAAAAATGTTTTAAACATTTTTCTATAAAGCTATGTAGTAGTTACTACCTTTTTCCAAATAATCAGTTCCTACTAAATATATAATAGTTTGTTTGTTATAGTTTGATAAAAACTATTAAATTACTACAGCACACCCTCCAACAATAGAAATTGTGACAGTAGTCCTTAATGAGAATCCGCCGTCAGATTTGTATTGAAGAATGATGAATATCGTTACAGTTAGGTTTTAAGTTATCTCAAATAAGAATTGGTGATGAGTTTTTTTCTGAAAAAAAAAATCCCCAGCAATTTTTGAAATTTGATCCCGTAAATGTGGTCGTTTAGTTGCCCAAATCAAGTTTATCACTAATTGAATCCGAATTTTAAATACCTACCTAACAAAAGAAAGTTTATCAAAATCGGTCAAGATATAAATATTTTAGAAGAGTAAGTAGACACAATGTTTATCTTTATTTATTATCAAATAGGTACCTCAGGATCTAATGAACCATTGGATAAGATCTCACTCTGACAGGCCACTGAATCAGAACAAATTGAATCCGCCGAATCGCTTGGTGAATTATTTTTTTCCAATTCAATAGGTAAATCTAAATCTGTCGAACCATCTTCTGCATCAGGCTGTGAATAAGAGTCTTTGACGTTGAACTGGTTGGTTTTCATATTGCTACCATTGCTATTTGCTGTTTTCCTCTTCAATCTTGAATTATCATTTTTCAATGATTCCGAGTTTTGATTTTCTGAAGAAACTTCAAAAGTACTACGAATCCTCTTTCCAAGACTTACATTCAAATAATCGTTTTCAACATCGTTAAATTCATAAGGATCGTCGCTTTGCTGATCCTCCGTATTAATATTGGTACTACTTGTTTTTTCTGAATGCGTTATAGTTGAATTATTATAATCCGAATATTCTGTCGTTGGTTTTAAACGTTCTGCAGAAACTTCTAAATAACCACAATCTCTCTCTTCATATGATTCACCGCTATAATCTGAACTATGAGGTGAAAAATTATCTGAGGATCCGGAAGAAAAATCCATCGGGCTTTCGGTGCTCTTTTCCACGTAATTAATCAAAGAAAATCAATAATAGTAAATATTTAGTTTTTTATTGATTTAAACTAAATTTTCTGAGGCCAAACTAACAGCCTAAAATGGACTATGTTACCATTCCCATACAATCCCTTCCTAGCTGTTCCTCTGACAATAAATATTGTTTTTCTATTTTGGTTTCATAAAGACTGTATAAACATAAGCAATTGCGTTTGCTAAGACGAAATTTTATGAAACGAAAATTTTATTTTTAATTTTTTTTATATTGGCAATAAGAACAAAACAAATGCCATTGCCATGGTCTTGTTCCTTAAGCAAGATCCTCATGGACGCGATTTTTTTTGCGGATTGGTTCCCATTGGTCAATATGATGACATTGACATTGACTTTTTAGAGTTACGGGAGATAAATCGCGATTTATTTCAACTTCTTGTAGCATCGCCAAAAAATTATTTTTTTCTACAAACGTCAGTAAAAGTATAATTTTTAAGGCATGCTGTCAGTGTCTAAAATAATAATTTATGACACTGTTGTTAAAAGTAATAATTCACTTTTTGCACTTGTGTGCAAAGTGATATGACACTGGTGTTAAAAGTAATTTATTACATTATACAATTTATATGACATAAAAGCTTGCCTCGAGATTTACCTGAGTATAATCTTAGAATTACTTGTGTCAAAATCGAGTTAATATTGTATTCTTGCTTATTCACAAAGGTGAATCTCGGGTCAATATTTTATTTCGTATAAATTGTATAAGGTAATAAGTTCATGGGTTTGATTGAGTTTGAAGTTTATTTTCTCCTTTTTAGAGCATTTAAATAGAAGCTTGTTTTTGAAAATGTTTTTTTCTACTCCTATTGAATAATATTTGTATTATTAACGTTTTTTCCTTGAATAATATTAGTCATTATTGTTACCCATTGGCTTATGAATCGTAAGCCAACGGTTTGTGTTTGTGTCCAATAACAGCCCAAGAATTTTCATAACCCAGCAGCTTACAAGGGAATATAACAAAATTTAATTTTTGATTCATAAAATTCTCTCATTAAATACAACTCGAGCAATGGAAATATAGTATATATAATTTTTGACAAATTTGCACTCATGCATTTTTAACTGAAAAAGGCACTCGTGCACTACGTGCACTCATGCTCTTTTTCAACCAAAAATACATTCGAGCAAATTTACCAAAAATTATCAATAATTTCCATTGCTCGAGTTGTATTTAATGAGAGAATTTTATGAATCAAAAATTAAATTTTGTTATATTCCCTTGTAAGCTGCTGTCATTTAAATAAACACAAACAAATCAACGAACGTCATCAAAGAAAAACGCATCACAAATTTAAAAAAGACGAATATTCCCCGGCTATGAAACACCAGCCGCGGCATTAAATCTTGTGCTTTTCTGTCTAGTAAAACAAATAACTATTTTGTACCTGCTGATATTGATTAATATCAACAAACTCTTAACAAAATTGGCGAATTCGCGAATTTCGCATCCATGGGGTCTAGAAAAAAAATGTGGCATTTAAAATTGGCGAAATATGTCATTTACAGAAAAATCGCTTTTCGCGATTTCGCGTGTATGAGGATCTAGCTTAAAGAGGTTTCATTTTTGTACATGCTACGTCATGAAATTTTTAATGTGCTGCCAACTTTAAAAAAAATCAAATTTAAATTTTAAATGAATAGGTATTTATTTTTTCATGGTCCCAGTGTATTCTGTATTTTACGTCTGCGATATTTTAAACAAGTCTCGACATGCAGCATATTAGATAATTGGGACATTTTGGATCAGTTAAAATAACATCAAAAGTTACGAAAATATTCGTTAACTTCAACTACATTCCAGATAACGAAAGGTAGATAAAAACCAGTTTTTGGATGGATTTATGAATAACGACATTTGTGGTTATTTTCTATGGTTAGAAAGTGATAATGTCGGGACATTAAGTCGAAAATCGCGTGTTTCCAATCAACCAATGTCAAATTAGCCGAAAAAATCGCTAAAGTTATTCGCCGGAAATAAAGTTCCTTCTTTATCGTTATAAGCTCCGTTATTTCTCATTTTGAGTAGTGCGCATGCTTAAAATCGAAATAGCCACAAAAATCGTTATTAAAAACTAATTTGACTGATCCAAAATCTCCCTATTAAGGTACGTTCGCTATCGCTATTTGAAAAAAAAAAAACAAATAATCGGGGACTCCTCCCGAGATGGTCGGGATTCTACCAAAAATAATAGCTGCGGCCCCCTGCCACTACAAACGCAAGCCCTTA